AAGTTTAATATTGACTTTTAAATCTTGAAGAGAGTCTAGTTTATTGCTAAAGACCAATGAATTCAAAAAACCTCACAAGAAGTACAACTTCAATTTCTTGAAATTATCGAATCTCCAAACTTTTTTCACCATAATTCATTTGGTGAAACCAGATGTTGTCAAGATCAACTTCTTTCAATTGCGGTCATAAAAATTTGGTTATCATCGATCTTTACCGCTCTCCATTGCCAGTAACGATGTCACCAGCTTCATTTCGAAAGAAGTACAGACCGATGATTCCATCATACCAAAAACCACACCAAACTGTCAATTTAGTTGAATGTAATGATTTTTCATAAGTAATGTGTGGATTTTCGTCGCACCAGAATCGACAGTTTTGTTTATTAACCGCACTACTCAGATGAAAGTGAGCCTTATCGGAGAAAAAGACTAAATGGCAAAAGAGCACGAAAAGTTGCAAGATTATTTTGATAATAAAATTTAATAATTTGTAAACGCTGTTCTGGCGTATATCTTCTCCCAATGAAATTGTAAACATTACTGAATACAATGAAAAAAAATTTCAGATCATGACTTATTAAAAATGGCCACAACGACACTTAGAAATCATATCAACCCTATTGGAAAACCCGTTATTTATATATTTATCTGTACACCTGCATATGAATGTCTGTGATTCATGTTTATGAACTCATCCAATTAATTTTATTTTCAATACATCTGTTCCTTACTCAACCGGGTATCTGTTACCGTAATTTGAGACGAATTTGCTAATGAAAGCGGTTAATTATTTAAAAAAAAAAATATTTTAAATATTAAAAAATTGAAAATATACAATATCGTTTATACATATCATACTTAACTAAGCTGTCTAAACGCAACTAAAAAACTAATTGAATGCGCGAGGTTTGTTGAATATTTTAATTTTTACTCGAATATCATACTCCACTATTTACAATAGTATTAGTATTTTTGTGAGCGAAGTAAATAAAAGCATAATAATACATAAGATTCCCTTCTCTAAGCAAATAAGAGTATAAAACTTTTTCAAGATTTACTCCGAACAAGTTAAACTAATAAAATTTCGTTAAAAGTCAATTTGTGTGTTTCTTCAAGAAAATAAATTTTTATTTCAAAATTCAGCGAGATACACATTGCCTTCAGTTTTTTGCTGTTTACCATATGCTCAGTAATACTATTTTTCTATCACTCTCTTTCCATTTCATTAATTTCAATATAAATAGCGCGAGCTGACCAATGTAAGGGCATTGGTATGAGAAATAGTGGGTGGTATGAAATAACAAAAGTTTTGGCGCAAAGTAGTAGACCATATCATATGTGTATGTATATGGTTTTATGAACAGTGAGAGAAAAAAAATATAATATATGTATATTGTGAACTAAAAATTAAAATAACTTATTATCAAAAAAATCGAAATTGACTTTTTTATTGATACCGATTCACTTTATACATATACATATGTATGTACAAAATTTTAGGGTTATACTATCAGATAAAACCAAGCTTATAACCAATTTTTAAAATTCGCTTTAATTGAGTAGTTTTTATTTTATATCGTTTTTTTTTTTTTGAAGAAAAATTATGAAAAGTGATGTTATGTTATTTTGCATTTTAAAGGACGATATACAGTTTTTAAGATGGCTGGAACCACGTGCAAAGCACTAAGCAACTTGTAATTTGGAAGTCACTTTCGAATCTACAATAGGTTTTTAGATATTATGTGGTTTTTTCAAGTTAATTATTTTAGTTGTTACTAATGCTTATAGTGCATATTCTTAGCCAAAAGATAGTGTTTTTTTTGTCAAAATACGATTTTTTTACAAAATAAATATTGATCAAGTAATTTAATTCACAAACAAGTACAAACTATTTCCCAATAAATTCATGATTTAGCAGTGTAAATGCAATATACAAACAATGGCACTCTAAAATGCAAAGACCCACCTGAAGACTACCAAAGTCGCGGCAGTTATTATTACAAAGGGTATTCACTAATTAATCTGCTTGACCTGAAGCTCTGAAACTCTGAGCCTGTTTCCTTTGATAACCACTATAGTATGTATATACACACAACTAGTTTACTGCTATATATCTATAACTACATATCCAAACAATGTCTGAAGCGATGAGTAGATAGACAGAGATAAACTAAAATGCTTTAAGACATACATACATATGTGTATATATTATATATCTACCAAACGGTTCAAATGATCTAGGTGACGATTGGATATAATAAGAAGTACGCAAGGTTAATTGTTTTTCAAAGGGGCTACTACTTTAAAAAGCAACAGAGGTCCCCTAAGAAAATCTGTGCTTGCATATTTTTCATTTAAATCACTATTTAACTACATAAATATGTGTATGCCTATATTTCATTGCAACAATGTACATGTATGCATATATGTATATACATACATACGTAATCATTATTTAAGCGTAAACTCGTAGGCTAGTTGCTACTGCATCTGCTTGTTGTAAGTCATTCATCAATTTAGCAATGCGCTTTGCAATAAGCTTCAAGGAAGCGACAGGGCAATACCTTGCTGCGTGCAGCTAGACGAGTGCATTATGAATGCGCAATATTTCTTGTTTTTACATATAGACAAGCATGTTTGCATTTGAATGTTCGCTTGTGTGTGTGTTTCTGCTTTAATGCGAACGTTGCACTAAGCCGTGTGCCAGTTGTTTATATACATATATACATATATATTTTGTTTGCAAATTTTTGCTTCGCTTCGTTTCATTTTTATTGCCTTTTCGCATCTTTACGAGAATTATGCTTCCTGGTTGCCGGTTAGTCCATTTACTTTAAAAGCATTAAATCGTCGCTACTCGCTACTGCTTGCGACTGGCGTTCATCTTGCACAGACAGACATATATATAGGTATATGCAAGGCAGCCAGCAGAAATACTGCTATAGGTACATAATACAAACATGCAGATGTAGCTGTAGCTGTTGCAATACACTCTCATACATGCGTATATACAATTATGTGTATAGGTATACGTGCAATATCTGCTTTGGCTTACGAATCTTCTGTCATAATTTTCATTTCATTTTTTTTTTTTTTGCTTAATCAGATTTATAACACATATTTCACAATCATTCAGCCATCAATCCAGACAAGCAGCGTTTTACGCGATTGCATCAGAGCGCTTAAGCTGATTTTCGAGGAGATATATATATGTATGTGTACATAATTTTTATGTTTAATTGTGAATATATATGTACATGGGAGTGTGTATGTGTGTGTACGTGTATCTTGGCAATTTGCATATCATTTTATGATTTATGTTCACATACACTCATATAGACTCCCGTTCATACATACATACTTGTACATAAGTGCCATTTCGCTGGCTCATCTGCCGAGTTAAACGCTAACATTGGAAAACAATAATAACAACAAGACGAAAAAGCACAATTCTAACTCAACTTCCTTTTATGATCTGTGATTAATGAACCACATGGCGCGAACATCATTTAGCCAAATGTTGGCCACAAAGCAAACAATGTGTTTACAACAAAAAATGAAAAAAACATGTTAATATGTTTGCACATAATCGTGTTGCATATATGTACATGTAATAAGAAAAAATTTTAAATTAGATTGCACCAAAGCTATAATACCCATTACAAGTGAATTTTTTATAGCATATATGGATATAAAATATCGTTATATTGATTTGAATCGGTTAGTTTGGCAAATTTATGCTATAGTATTCCGATGTGAACAATTTGTTTGCCTAATTTCGCGAAGATATCTTGTTTTCCATGTAAGAACTTGAGTTTGTTCGAGTATGATAGCTTCATGCTTTTGTTACGACAAATGAGCAGCTTTTTGGTGAGGAAAGGACGTGTGTGAAACTTTAGATCGATTTCTCAAAAACTGATGAAGTACAAGTTCGCGCATATACAGACGTACAGGCAAACAAACGAACATACATAGTCATGCTGATTATTTATAAATATATCTTTTGTAGGATCTCCGACGTTTCCTTCTGGCTGTTATAAACTTAATAAACCCGTTCATCTTATAAAAGTTAATATTAATAATTTATCTGTACTGTCTACATTATAGTCCGATAAGAATTTTTGTCCGAAAATACCATTTTATAAATCTTACAATCTAACTCTCTCGACTATTTATAGGTCTCGTGCTTTAGGTTATAGTCTATAGTGTGTGTTTCATATATATATCTCTCTCTTTTTATCTACATTTAAAGATCTTACTCCTCATATACTCAAAGTTATCTAGACAACAAAGTATTCCAAGCTTTCATAATCATATCTAGGGCCCTCACTAGATCGAACTCTATTTTCGATTTTGTTTTCTTTAAAAATGAACTCCATCATGAAAAAATACAATAACAAAGTCAAAAAATGTAAATTGCATTTTTAACTTCACAATATTCACTATCTATGCATGTTTATGAAAGCAGCTATGCGCTCAAACTTCAGTATCTTGCAGATGCAATATTCAAAATGCATTATTTGCTCACATTTCAACTTCAAAGCTTCTTGCAGTTACATGCATAAACAGCAAAATACCAGAGAAACATAAACATTTGCATGTGTACATATATAAATACACATGTTGCAAGTAAACAAATTTGCAACCAGAAAACATATGCCACATATACTTGGGCTAATATGAAAGCGAAAAGTGAATTTCTACCTTGAAACAGCAAGTTTTGCAATTAAAGTGGGAAGTTGCTTCTACTTATGCACAGCGCAACTATACATATATATGTATAGGTATATAAATATGTACTTAAGTGTTATGTGTGCATAAATTTGCTATTTTTGAGAAGTTGAGTTAATTAAGTGCATGTACTCATATATACATACATGTGTGAGTGATGTGGCGTTTATGTGTGGCATAAACTTACGCATTTTTTTAAGTTGTGTTATTAATGAAAAGTGAAAATGCTATTTAACTTTCAATGTATAGGTAGTAGATACTTGACTTACCTTCTAAAGTTGCATTAACTCTTTGCTTATGGTGCTAAAATGAGGGAGAAGAGCAAATGAAGAAACGAAATTAGTTGAAATTGCAAGTATTTTATATGAAATTTAATTGATTGTATAAAAACTACAATACATTTTATAATTATAGCAAAAACATTTTGTAAGAAGTTAGGCCAGACGCATAGTGCAGCGTGAAGCAAGATGGCGATGAAGCTAATAATATAAGTCTGGAACAAAGTAAATACGATAAATCAGAGTACTCGTACAATAAAAATTGATTGAAGCATATATGTATTATATTACAGAGAAAAGAAGAGAATAAAATTGTTAAGTTCAAATACAAAATATGCTTACAAATAGACGATGCAGAAGCCTTTAAAAATTATTTAAAAAAAGACATCCAAAGTAGGTTAAAACCAAACGGAAACGATAACGATTTCCAGCAAACCTACGAGTCCTATAGAAAAAATTTATAAGGCAATGGTGTAGGTAATGAAAAGATCTATAACTTTTGAATACAGACTTTTTTCACTTTTTTACTGCTGCTACTACAAAATACTAGGTAGATGAAATAAAAAAAGCAGCTTTGAATCGTTTTCAGCTGTTTAGTGGGGGTATTTTTTTGCATTTTCTGACCATAGTATCATACCACACCCCTCCCTTTCCTTTTTCTGGTCTCAGATCGCCTGTAAATTACTATTTTCTTAATGTTTGTTATGTTATCCTTCGCTTCCGATGGGTTTCATCCTATTATAATTTTTTTGTTTTCAAAAATTATCTACGCCGATACAGATACGAGCATAATGTTTGGAATAAATACTTCTAAAAAATAGTTTAATTTATAGTCTTGTCTTGGGAATTATGTTTTAACGTGGCAGCCGAAAAAAGGAAACTTTTGAGAATAAAAAAAAAAACAACAACTGTATCATCAGTTTTAAAATTTAAGTGTATAATTACGCATATTTTAAGAACACACTGTAAAATTATTGAAGAAAAAAATATATTTTGAGTTACACGCTTCGCCGTGAATAATTCTAAAAAAAATTTGCAAAATGGCGGCGTTTAAAAAAAACATGAGTTTTACCCAAAATTTGGGTCGTGTTTTGGCCTGCCAAAATTCGGTTTTTGATCACATCAAAATACTGGTAGGTCGTTGTATGAAGAACTACCAAATATACAGAACATGCAGAAAATTAAAGGTATTTTCTTGCCGACAATGGACCGATAGTGTTTAAATCAAAACAGAATTTATTTTTACGCATACTTAGCATATTTTGAGTTTAACCCGGATATTTTTAATTTTGAGCCTTATTCCGAATTTAGTATTATTATTGTTTAGATTATTGCATATAGTATTTCTAGATGTTTGATGAATCCAAATAATATTATATTTATGGATCTCGCTACTTTGGCTGGATACATACACCGTTACTTGCTATTCACAGGACTAGTTTTAAATCCTAAATGATTAAAAATTCAATTTATTATTATGTATATTTATTTGTGTAAACTTAACCTCCTTCTCTTAACATTTATTAGAATGGGCTGAAATGTTTTGTTCATATTTAGACTACACAGAAAAATTCCCTTTTAGGTCATCGAAAAGCTTAATTGGCAAATATTATATATAAAAGTATGAACAAAAAGTGGAAAGTGAAAGCGATAGAGCGTCGCTATTTCATCCCGGAAATAAATTTGTTAAAATGTAGTGTGTTCAGTAATGAATCACAATCCTATAAACCCAATTGAAAACCAGTTTTTTGAAATCAAAAGGATTTTATGAAAGTCACTTGTCACTCTCAACTTTCGGATTATGAACAAATGAATGGATACTAAATTTTTGTAGTTGTTGACACAAATGTCAAATTGTTTGGCTAGCAAAGTCTAAACTGATTAATAATCTATTCAAAGTTAAATAATGGAAAAGCCGATAATAATTAAGGAGAGCATTAAATGCACAAAAAACAATGAACTTCATTTGGGCTTTGTGCGGCGAAAAGCCATCGAAAGCAATTAAAAGCCAATCAGCTAGTCAAACAATGGAATTGATGAAGAACGATAAACCTATTTACATATGTAAGAATTTCATAGCTAATAAAGAATAAGAAACAAGAAGTAAAGTAGGCAATAGGTAAAAATAAGTAAAATATAATACTAAATGTGTATGAAGTTTTTGATGATTGGTGATTAAATGAGTTTTAAAATGTATTATGTTTTTAGACTATACTAGCGACATATTATATATCAAAAAATATATTAAAATATAGATTTCTTACAGAGAGATATGATTTTTTTGCAAGTGATTTTTGTAAGTTGAGAGCTATAAGTATCAACTTGATTAAAAAGTAATAATAAATTTAACGTAATATAAAAATTATAATTTTGCGACGATTTTCAATTCAGTTTAACTTGCGTAAATCCTTTTCAATATATATATTGCTTCTACACTTTTTTCTGTTGCAAAAACGGCACACCTTAACGCACATAAATTACATAGAAAATATAGTGTTTTCAGCTGGTGCAGAAAATATAAAGTTGTAAATCACGTTCTGTTGTGTGTGTTTTTTTTTGTTTTGTTTTTTGAATAACCAGGCCATTGGGGGTGAGTTAAACGTTTCAAACATTTTGCGGCAGCGCACGATTGTGCTTTTGGTAGCAATCAAAAACAAAAAGTTGTAAAAAACAACAACATATAAAGGTGTGTTGCAAGTGTACAATTTGCTGTTGATTTTATGAATGTAATGGTAAGCTCAGTTTGGTTTTAACGTACACACACATTCATACATGAATGAATATATAATTTGTGCTTTAATCACGCTTAAAAACATTGCGGTTTCTTTAATTTACATGAATGAGCTGATTGGCAGGCGATTGTGTTGCTGCAGGTGGTCACAGTCCGGACATGGCCAATTGGCTGGTTGAGAGCACACGAATTGGTTCAACGTGTCACAAAATGGAAAGCCACGCTCACTGTTGTTGTTCTTTTTATTGTACAATTTTCCTTTCTCTCCTTCCTTTCTCCCGTTATCGCGCTTCTTGCTGTGCTAACAAATGTTTTTTATACATTTTGCACTTTTCCTGCAATTCATCGTTGATATTTAATATGTTTTCAAATATTCTCGTTTTTTTCTGGTTTATACTTTTTATATATTTGTTGTTGTTATTAGTAATACTGCGCTCTAATTGCATTTGGCACGAAATTGTGTTTCATTCTAGTTTTATTATCGAAACAAATAGACGCTCGTTCGTTGCGCCGCCGCCGTGTGTTGTTGTCTATTTCTAGGACGAACGTGTTAACCTTGATTTTGTGCAGCGGCGGCCTCAACACCAGTGTAATTTACGAGCAGACGTGGTCTTTGTGTTTCCACTACTTTTATTTACTGTTCTTTTTTTTAATATTTGATTACCAGTTAACATATATTCTACTTTAAATAATCTATAATCATAATTTTATGTCTGATTTATTCAGAGTTAATTGGCTTAAATCGCTTTAAAACGTGTTCAAGTGTTTAGAAAAATAAATTATTATGTAGTTTGAAAAGCTGTTGTTGATTGTAATCTTAATTGAAATAAATTATTCTAACATTTTAAATTAACTCGATTAAATGAAGTATTTGCTGCTGCATTCTCTTTAAGTTTCGCCTTCTTTTTAATAGAATTATAACATTAACATCGTCGAACCTTTGTGGTCCCTAGAAAAACGCAAAAAGAAACGTTACCTTTGAGCAATTTCTTTGGGAGGAAACCGAAAATATGGCTTCAACAATTTTAATTTCTCTTTTTGTCGAGTGGCACTACAAACAGAAGGACGAATTCAGATAAAAATCTAACAGGTAGTTTTACATTTTAAAAATATATAATTATATAAAAGTACAAACGCTCTAAAGGGCTATTTCAGAATGGAAAGTAAATAAAATGATAAAAGGAAAAATAATTTGTGAAAATTGCGTTACCTCTTTTTTCTGCAAACTTCTATAACTGTTTATTAATTTTTATTTTGTGTTCCGACACTCTTCTTGTAAATGAGCGACTAAACTATATATGTATGTAGGTCAAACTCAAACTCAGGTATTACTACCGCTAATTCTCCGCTTATGCTCATTTTTCATAATCCTAGCGGCATTTTCTATCAAACTTTTTGAATACAAGAGCTTATTTTATCAGCCAAGCAGCCTAGAGGGCCCTATAGAAGTAACCACTAAGTCTAGCGATTAATCGCAATTAATTGTGAAGCAATAACTCGCGCACGCATACTTTGTTATATATTTACAGTGCAAAAAGTTCGAAGAAGGCATTTTATTAGCATTCTTTGTAGTCGAAACATAGTGTCTTCGTTTTCGCCTGCGTCATGATCACCCTCTTTACGATGGCAGCGGCGGAGGCAGCGCTACGTGAGCTGAATTCAGGTTAATTGACATTTTGCATAACTGCAAATTGAGTGCACAAATTGAGCTTTATCGAAATACACAATAAATTTTATTTTACAGTCTATCCCCCCTTCCCTCCTCCTCCTCACTCCATTCATCAACGCGGTCGCATCGAATTCAAATGCCAAATTGATGACTCGGTTTGTTTTGGCCAAGCTCTCAGTATGAATTGTATTGTTGTATGTGGGTAATTTATGAAGGGATGCCAAGGGCAATGAATGCTTGCGACAGCAAAACGGAATAATCAGCGCAGCGAATAAAAACTATAAACCACAATAAAAGTGTATTGATTGAGAAAACTTCGATAAATTGCCGAGATATTCACTTTATGCAAAATATTGTTTGACAACGACTTTTCTATGCATAAATCAAACTTTTTTTTCGGGTTTCAGTGACAAATTAATAAATAGTTGATTGAGGCAAATTGGCAATGTATATTTTTGCCGCTCGTAAATGCTAACCGAGCAAGGAAAATGAAAAAATAATAATGCATATTTTTGCAATAATTTTTTCACGATAAATCTACCATAGATTAAAAACTATTCTTTGAACGCCAATATTGATAAAAGCTGACAATAAACTATTTTGAATACTAATTTGTAAAAAATCC